TGGGGAATGCTGTGCAGTTTGTTAAAAAGAGAAAAATGGCCAGTGAGGTACTTTCTCTTTTTTTTTTCTGAAACAACGAGAAATAGAAGGAGCACGTTGCAAAATTTTTTGGGCACCATATTGACTCATCGAGTCGGACGAACTGGCTTTCAGCTGTGGAACAATTTTTTCAGGCTGCTGAGGATCGTTTGCGACGCCCACCTGTGATTGAGTTCAAGCTCGACGAGTATGCCGTTGGCGCCTTTAGTCAGTGGGGTCGAATCGTAGCAGATGTTGAGAACTCTGGAATACTAAAGGATGTTTGTTTTTCGGAATTTATGTGAAGTTTGTTCTTGAGGCTCGTTTCATTTTATAAATCCTGCTCATTTCATCATTCAGAAGGGGTAGCTGACCGCGTCTCTCGTTTTTATCTTGATCTTTCTGAATTTTGATGGTGTCATGTGACTGCGAAACGCGATTGACACGTTACTTGCTTGCCTCTCATCGAACTGCGCTGACACGCCTCTTACGCATGCGAATTTGGGTTTCACATTCTTCCGCATTGCATTACTTTTCTGTCCTAATCGTTGTTCTGCAAATGGTCATTCTTAGCATCGTATGTAGTAAAGACGCGAAAATCACGCATCCCAAATCAGGAATTTTTGTGCAGATACGAGCTGCAAGGCTGATTTTGCCATGTCCTGTAGCCATAGTTTTAGTTTTTGTTTGTTACTTGTCATAAATTCGGCTGACAGTGATTTGCTGAGCAAATGCAGCGCAGCATATAAGCATAGGCTATTTCTTAAATGGAGTTCTGTTTTACCAGTTGTTTGAAAAAGCTCACTTTTTCCTTATTCTCGTACGTGATATACTCTTTCCTCTAAATTTTGGGTTCTTCGACATCCGCGATTCTGTTGCTAGAATAGAAAAATCGCTTATTTTCTAAAACAGTCGCAAAATCGTACGAGAGCGGTGTTTTCAAGTATGTTTTCTAAGAATTCTTCAGTCTGAATGATAATGTTTCAGATCGAAGTGCCACCATTGTCGCCTGCGTTTCTTCCTTCGGATGTGCCTTTGTTCGACATCCCAAGTTCGTCTGGATTAACCGGAATTTTACAGCGGTCATCTCACTCTTCGTTTCCTCCAGGTTGTAACTTAGGCGGCAACGCATTTTCGTGTTTTCTGGACTGACAGTAGTTTGTTCAAGCATATCACGGTTTACCATCTACGAAAGACGAGAGTGATAATGAGTAGGAGTTTTTTAATGCCTACTTGGCACTTACATGGAGTTGAGGTTAGAGTGTTTCTTTTTGGGTCCTTAAAGATCAAAGCTAACAATAATTGACCAACGCACCGGCTGCCGATGCAAAGATGCGTTTTTTGCATAGTTCCCCGCAGTTTTTGTCGCTGTCGGCATCGGTTTTCCCGGCAAATGCTTCTAACTAAACAAGTTGAGACTGGCCGCCAGAGCTGTCAGGAAACACTCACTTAAATTTAGCTTTCTAGCTTTCCTGGCTCCCGAGTTAGCACCTTATCCGAAAAAAACTTCCACGAACCCGTACGTAGGTACCACCAAGGGTACGAGCGCCCATTTTGGGGATCGGGGCCCGTACGTGCATGTAGATTAAGTTCCCCAAGTTTCAGCCCTGTAGCTTTTCTAGGTTTTGAGATGAACCCAGGCTGGAACGCACCAGGCGGGCCGG